ATTTCGAGGTTTAACGTCACATATTTTTAAACGTGCACACAAGAGAAAATTATTTGCGATTAGATGAGATTATTTGTAATCAGATGAAATCAAATGAAATCATGTAATCGGTGGGACAACATTTTAGCTAGTGGTTACACCGAGGGGGAAACCGCTGACCAAAATCTTGTACACCAATGCCCACTAATGCCCAGTGAACATTACTTTACCTTATTCTCTTATTTCATCTTATTTATCTTCGTTTTATCTTATTTTATCTTTATAATACCCCAGCAAGGCCTAATGCCCCAAGAATGTCTAGTAATGCCCAGTAATGTCGCAAATCTGTACACCACAATGCCCTCGGCGGTTTCCCCCTCGGGTTACCCCCTTGTTACGGGGGTTGGTCAATCAGTTCGACCTGCAATTCATGAATTTTGAACCGTTACTTGATTTATTCCATATTTACGAAAATACTAACATCCACTGACACAAACGACTGTCGTACAACAACTGAGAGTCCGAAATGGCTGAAATTTGCAGAGGTATCCTTCAAAGCATGTACACGCACCGGCATAAATGCTGTCCCTATCCTTGTGAGGTGCACGCACACAACTACAGGGACTCTAGTTGTGTGCGTGCACCTCACAAGGATAGGGACAGCATTTATGCCGGTGCGTGTACAGTCGCAGTACTGAAGTGGCGACGACAAGTAATGCCATGTTCATGTTGAAGCTCAAAACTTTTCAACCCCCCCCCCCCCCTCCGCTTCGTAGAAGTCTGTGGTTTGAGCCTGGACCTCTCTGACTCTGGGCGGGCGTCTCTTTGTGAAGTAATTCGTGTTACAAGCATGACTGGTAGACACAAGTAGATTACGATCTACACCGTCGATTGTAATGTATCTATTAAATCGTGCGCCTGCTCGATCGCTTACGCTCAAAATCGCGATTCGAGCTCGGAATTGTGTCACTCTCGAAGTCATTGGACTCGTTCATATTTCATGAGGCCGGTTTCGCGGGATAGCTTCCTCGTGGACGTAAGGCTTTTGTCGCGCGGCGAATTCCTCGGGCGAGTGACACGATCGCGGCGCGGGCGCCCATTAATTTCTTTCAGGCATGAAACAAGGTTGCCCGCGATGTTACCATTAGCGATACCAGCGATGCATACACCGCTCTTAGAGCCGTGTCGGGCTCTTCCCTTTTCCGTTCGATTTCTTTCCCCGGTTTTTTCCGTCCGATCTCGCGGCTTCGACGCGTAACGTTGTCGCGGGGCCGCAACAACGCGAGTCGCTCGTGTAACAGACATCGACGCGAAGGAACTGGAAAAAAAACCCCAAAAAAATGAAACGCTTCGCCTCTCTCGCTCGTCTAAGCCGAGATTCCACGGCGACGGTGTCGCCCGTAGTTCGGGCCCGTAAATATGCTGAACTCGCTGAAACGCCAGCGCGATCTCTCGCCGATCGGCGTTCGGCAAACGCTTGCGCGGTTTTTTAATGGAATGGAATTCGCCTGCGTGTGTACGCGCGCGCGGGTCGTATCTGCCTCGCGGCGAGTTGAAACGCGTCGTTAAAATTCTGAACGATACGATAAATCGTGCCAATATATGCCGCGGGAGGAGCGAGTTGTCGCCGCGCGGGCAACCTGGATGAGGTACCGTCATCCGCGCCGTCGCCCCGACGGGGTTTCCGCTCCGCTCGGGACACGGACGGGGGACGTCGTCGCGCACCTGACGTGTCGAATTTTCAGGCTTTCGTAATAGAGAAAGGAGGCGAGGAGCGCCGACCGGGTGAGAGATGGGGCCGCGTGCGCGAGGATGGAAGACGTTCAGTGTCTTCGTGACATTTGATCCACCATCCGCGTTCTCCGCGCGCGCGCGCGACTTGTATATTCGACATGAATACCAATGCTAGATTTCCGCCGGGCAGCCTCGAAGACGCTTCTCCAAGCTGTTCTCTCGTTCCCGTTTTATTCCACGTTCAGTTTTGACGTTACCTAATATTATTTTACATAATCGAGACGTGGAGTCCCCTATTATGAGACAGGCTCCTAATACGAGATAGCGGAGTTTCTGCTAAACTAATAGGCATCGTCAGCTGGTTCCACCATGAATTTATTGCCCCTGGAGTGAAATCTGTTTGGTGGAAAATTGTTCGTTGGATCGCGTAATCGTTGCGAAAAAAGGATCTGCGATTGAATTTGGACGTTGAAAATCTGCTGTCTCATATTAGAATCCTATCTCATAATAGAGGACTTTCCTCTATGTATTATTTTTATAAATACAAGTTTTTAACGCGTGTATCAATGTCTGGTTCGTTAGCTCCTTTGAACGTTATTTATTTAATATTATTTAATTTGTCGTCCTTTTTGTTCGGAAATCTAGAAAAAAAAATACTAGAAAATTTTGAGCGACCGCTGAAGCGATAGTTGGAGCGACTTTGCCGCAAAATCGCGGCTCAGGTCGAAGTCTATGAAGGTGGCTCGGGTTCAAGTCCGCAGAGGCGGCTTCGGTTGTTTGCTCCTCGTCATCTGCTTATTGTGCGCTTTATTCGGAATAAATGACTCATACCTCAAAGTCGGCTTGCACAATCGCGGACGAGAGGGAGAGACGTAACTCTTTGAACGTCCTCCGCGCGGAATTCCCGACTGGCATGACCGCCGTGCGGATAAAAAATCGAGCGCGCGTCAATAATCAAATAGGCGAGGTTCGCCTGACCTGTCGTCAATTTGTCGTCATATTTTACCTCACCTTCGTCGTACCGTTCCGGAGACAATGACGCAGGCGTCGCGCAATGATGCTCCGCGCTTTTCGGTCAACCGACAGAGCAGTTCCAGTATTCGTTGCAACGCGTTCAACTCCGAAAGATGTTTAACAGATGTTCGATGGGCGCCTGAGGGATCACCGTGACACGCATTCGTATCACATTCAGCGCCAAGAATGTGGTTGGTTGAATCTCATTCATGTAATACAAATAAAACTTGGTATCAGACGGTAACATACGTCGCTGAGCGTGGAAACAGATCCGCGTCTTCGAGGCGCATACAGAAGTACGTAGAATGTATAAAAGGATGCGTTCTCTCGTCAGTAGAGAGAACATAGAGTTTAGATTATTTTAATTAAATAATTGTAAAGGTACACGGAGAGAATTTCCTCTTAAAATTTATCCCAAAAATCATGTAATCGTGGGACAGCGCGGCATTTTCAAAATCTTTATGAAAGGTTTTTAAATTTTACTAGTAAAATGTATGGTAAAATTTTGAAAAGCTCTTATAAAATTCTTGCAGAAGCCATGTCGTTCCATGATTACATGATTTCACTAGTAAAATGTATGGTAAAATTTCAAAAACTCATAAAATTCTTGAAAATGCCACGTTGTCCCATGATTACATAACTTTCAGGATAAGTTTTAAGGAAAAATTCTCCCCGTGTAATTTTTCCTTTATCGCTCCGAGATTTTTCTCTGGTATCTAAGGATACTCGTTAGGTTTCTGACGAGACTTCTTTCTTGGGCACGCGTTAAAAACTGCCAAAAGGCCCCCAGAGAGAGGGGGCGATCTATAAAGATTCGCTGTCGCGCTGTTGATCCGCGGGAGTCGCCCGTTGACGGGAGCACGGGAGGTCTCCTGGGAAAATGGCACCAAACGGTATTGCACCTTTGGGTCTCTCTCGCGTTGTGCAACGTCCGAAAACGGACTGTGCGTCATCGCCGAGAAGGCATACAAAACGCACGAGGGCACCAGCTGCTGCGTGTGACGCATGGGACTGTGGAAAGTAAGACATCGGCAATAGTAAACGATAGTAGCGGCGGCGATACAAAGGCGGCAGTGCGCGGTGGTGATATCGCGGGGCCACCTCCTCTAAACGCCCGGCTCGTTAGATCCTAGAAAAGCGGCCGATTGTTAACGCTCGATGAAAATAGAACCGCCGTCCGAGAGGGACAGAGAGAGAGAGAGAGAGTTGGCAAACTGCCGAGATTCAATTTGCTCGAATTACGGGCGATCGTGGTCGCCGGGCCTGCCCGAGGAGAGAACGATTACATTACACAATGCGTGGGTTGTTTAGCTTCCATCGGTTGGGTAAAGGATCAAAGTATCGGGGGAAACGATCAGAGTGGAATGTCATAAGATATTGGCGCGATTGTCCATTAGACACGGTATTAAGCGCGCGCTATCTCTTGCAACAATTCTTGAAACGGTCAAAGGTTAAAAAGTGGCGAAGGCACGAGAGGTGTGTATGATTGTAGATTACAAATGTCAGGGGGAAATAAAGTTGCACGGCTCGAGTCGGTCGCGGGATCGGGGGGAGAAAAATTGACGAAGATTCGCTTCTCTGCGTTTGACGGGTATATGGAAGCGCGCGCGCGCGCTTTCTAACGTCGAAAATATCGGGATCCGCGCCGAAAATAGCCACGTCGGCGGCGCAGAAAGAAGCGGAAATACGAAAAGGAGATAATTTTGATCGTTATATTGCGTAAGGTTTTTTCAGCGCGGCCGTGAACGCAATGTTAGAACGTCAGAGACGAGCGAATAAATAAACCGTGACATCGGAGAAACGAGAGCGTGGCTCTCCGCCGGGTTCGGTAACTCTCTCGATTCAGCCGATCGAGCAACGGAAAACGCGTGGCGGCGGGACGTCGCTCGGGGGGTTTAACTAATGGGTTGGGTCTGCTCATCGCTCGCGAACACAAAGATCCGCGCGTTTCGCCACGCCGTTGTTACATTCGTGCACTAGTTGCTGTGGCTGACGTCAGCCTCTTATCGCCCAGAGATACAGGCAGGATAATCAAATCCACGAGATATCGTGGAATTTACATGTCAGCTTTAACGGCGATAGAGCCGCCGTGTGGGCTTCTATTACAAAGAATAACGAGATACAATAATAATTGGCGCGTAAGAAAAAAAATCAATGTACTCTTGAATTTAAAATATATTTGAAATCGCGCGTGTTTTGTCCCGCAGCGAAACTTTGTTCGCGTCTATCTCGATGCTCCAATATAAATGTAACGAGGAAAATGTTCCTTCTAGGCATCGACGATCGACGGCCGTCGAAAGGGCGCCTGTCTCTTCTGCCAGGAATATTTCATGGATCTGTACCTCTTGGCGGAGCTGAAGACGATCTCTCTGAAAGTGACCACCGTGGACATGCAGAAACCGCCGCCCGACTTCCGCACCAACTTCCAGGCAACGCCACCGCCCATCCTGATCGACAACGGTGACGCGATACTAGAGAACGAGAAGATCGAACGACACATCATGAAGAACATCCCCGGCGGGCACAATCTGTTTGTACAAGATAAGGAAGTGGCCACTCTCGTGGAGAACTTGTTCAGCGTGAGTGTCGGTCAATCCGGTCGAGAGTGAAACCAATCTCGGGAAAGCTGTCGAATTATATCCCTCTCTCTGGCGAGAAATTATATGTCATGCGCTCCGTACGTTTTGCAGAAACTCAAGTTGCTGCTGCTGAACGCGAAGGACAAGGACAAGGATCCCAAGACCTCGTCGCTGATGGCGCATCTGCGTAAGATCGACGAGCATCTGGGTCGCAAGGGCACGCGCTTCCTCACCGGCGACACCATGTGCTGCTTCGACTGCGAGCTGATGCCGCGGCTCCAGCACATCAGGGTCGCCGGCAAGTACTTTGCCGACTTCGAGATACCGGAGACCCTGGTGCACCTGTGGCGATACATGCACCACATGTACAGGCTCGACGCCTTCCTACAGAGCTGCCCGGCCGATCAGGATATCATTAATCACTACAAACTGCAACAGGTGAGACGGGCGGATCTAATAGCGGGTCTCTAATCGCATTCGCGAGATGTCGGTTAAATAATTAGCGCTTTTTGACAAGCTTCAATTCACGCCTGCTCGTCACACGGTGACGCAATCCCATTCCGCCGCGCGGTAAACAACGGCTCTTCCCATGTCCTCGACCGACATAATTGCAACAAACCTCCTCTCCGTTATTCGCAGGGTATGAAGATGAAGAAGCACGAGGAACTGGAGACGCCGACCTTCACAACGAGTATCCCGATCGAGGTCAACGACGACTAGGATGGGCCTCTCCTCGGCGGGTCTGCGATCGCGTGACTTCGATTAGACATCGAAATCGGCCTATAGCGAGACGGCAAATCGCCTCGACGGGGTTTTAACGGCGCGCATTTTGTAATTTAATATATTCAATATTAGTACCGAAAAGCAAGCAGGGATTCTTCGCTGGAACTTCCGTCTTTCGGGCTCTCAGTTCGTGTCGTCGCCGCGTCATCGATCAATTCATATCTTTGCTAAGCGATCTTACTGTATCGCATCCCTTCCTTGTGGGATCAAGTCAGGTGTAAACGGATTAGCTTTTTTACTGCAAACGACGCGAAAACATATCTAAGTGCATTAAGACTTTCAAAGTCTTAAAAACGATTCTAGAATATTGATCTTCTCCGTTCATCTCTTTCCTTTTTTCCTCCCCCCACTATGTACAATGCGCGTACGTAGTTTCGACCTGAATAGTATTAGCAAGATTTTAATTTGCTATTGTTGATCCAAGGATTAAGTTTACTTGGAGAAGCTACGATAATATTGCCATTGTCCAATGGCAACAATTATGGAAACTAACACCAAGAATGCAAAAGAAACGTATGCGTTCGCGAGAATTAAATTGGTGCCATTATTGTATCTTTGCAATCTTAATAGAAATTATCCTTTGGATAGTAATCATTATTCCTAGGCATTATTCTTACATACGATTAAGCAATTAAAAAGTAGATGAAATCAATGTAGAATGCTTGATGGAATGTTTCAACATTGCTCTTGAACTTGCATAAATCTTATTAAATATTAGATTTCTCCTTTTCTTTTCTTCATTGTTCTTATTCAGCCATTCGTCACGAGCTACAGTAACAAGATACTTAAGCGTGATTGAGATTTGCATGAATGGGAAGGGTACGTCGTTTGAACTTACACATTTATTTAACGTGCCGTTACATGTCACGTTCTTAAACGCGATTGCACGACGAAGAAAGGGAGACATGTTATCGCTATATACGTAGAAGAGAAAAGAATTGCACTTTGCCGCATCTCTCGCGGGACACGTGATCCAGAGTGCGTACGTTTCTTCTGGATTCCGCAGCGTGGTTCGAGGCATCTTGTTATTCCCGGTTCATCGTTAGCCACTTTTACTGATTTACAAGCAGAGAACGAGCGCAAAACAGTTCCCACGATTGTTTTCCCCGAGCCGAAAGCATTTAAAGTAACAGCATCCGGGAGCTCGACTCCGCTCATTTTCATTAATCCGCTGTTCCAGAAAACCGAACAAGCGACTGTCTATTCCGCATTAGTAATTCTATTATTATTATTATTATTACTATTATATTATTATTAATTTTGGTTTATATATCCGTAGAAGTCAATATACCAGTGTTTACAGTAATGTCTGGAGCACCCCATTATTTATCATGGCGCAGATACGCAGCGTAGACTAAGTTCTCGTGTCTGGTATAATACGAAATATTATAATTTTATATATGATATTAAGCGCTATTTTTTTCTGTTAAATACACGTACGATACTGACAATGAGATATTTTTATATCTCGCGATAAGAACGAGCGTTTTATTCCGAGCGGCATTCTGAAAAAGTGAAGAAAAAAGCGACAGAGCGAGATAGTGAGGTGAGTTTACCTTTAGAGACATCTCTTCAATATGAAACATTTCTCTCACTTGTCATTGATGCTGTACTTATTGCGAAACGACGGATTTATGAGACTAAAAACTTGTCTCTAGCGTGGAACATTTTCTTCACTTATCACGAGAGACAAACGTCTTTTCAATACAGGAACTATTTGTTTCTCGTAAAGTGACAAGCATCATTTTTCAACATGGAACATGTTCTGCATATTCTGCCGATGTTTTACTTTTCGCGAAGCAACAGATTATTTCGAATGGCTTTAAAAATGTCTTTAGCGTGGAACATTTTCTTCACTTATCACGAGA